CAGGGGTGAAATGCTAGTGGTTCAGACCGGTTCGCCTGAACCAGTAGCGATGGCGGCGGGTGGTTCGGAGAACCGGTAGCGACGGGAGAGCGAGGCTCCGCTCACCCGCCCGGTCCTCATTACTTCCTGTTTTTTTTACCTTCTGTGTATGCACAGAAGGGTTTGTGTGCTCATGTGACACATGTGCACACATGAGTAAAGCGAGCACACGTGTGGCGTGCATGCATTTCCAAACCGGTAGAGAAGGTAAGTAGATTTCAACCCTGCTTCCAGGCCTGACACAAGAACCTTCTTCAGATGACAGGAGAGTGAGGAATGGAAGTTGTTAAGGATATTCTTGGCTCATAACCGATGTTGTGGGTTATTGAGCAGAGTACCCTTTGAGTTTACGCATGAAAGTGACTGAGAATGATTGTGGATAATAACAGTTCACATACAAACAAACTGGGTTTTGATAATATTTTACTTTTAGGGAAAAAGCAAAATCATAGTCCAGAAATATTCCAAGTCATACACATATAAAGTGAGATAAAGATCAGTCCAGGGATATTTTCTAATATAAAGTCTTCTACCAGTTGTAGAAAAATACAATAAAACAGATCTTCTTTAGTTTCAATCAGGAACAGAGTTCAATATAAAAACAGTCAATAAATATTAGAAAAGCAATAAATAGCCATGATCAAGCAATGATCATGCAGAGAGATCAAATATAGAGTTCTTTTTCTTTCTTTCTTTCTTTCTTTCTTTCTTTCTTTCTTTCTTTCTTTCTTTTCTTTTCTTTTCTTTTCTTTTCTTTTATTAGATTTATATACCGCCCTACTCCCGAAGGACTCAGGGCGGTGAACAGGCACAAAATAAAACACATAGATACAAAAGTTAAAAGACATAATTAAAACCAGATTAAATAATTTAGCCCAAGACAATTAAAAAATCCCAATAATTTAAAACAGATTAAAATTTCAATTACAGCATATCAGCAGGTAAAATGGTGTAGTGTCCACACAAACCATAATTCAGCTCTCCTTAAGTACATTGGCTACAGAGCTCAGCCAATCAGGAGGCAGGATGATGCAACACAGTTTTTAAAGCTACATAATACTTTTAGCTACAAACACACAATGTTGGTTTACATATTTCCTGACCAACCAGATGAGTAATAACAATTTCCTAACAGAAGTGGTGTTTGAATTTCCCAGTCACCCATCCTTGGGGTCTCCAGGTAGGTTCCCATCTACGGTAATTCTTAAGCAAGTCTAATGCAGGTTTCTTTTGTGTCCACAGAGAAGGAGAAAATCAGACTATGGAGTCCTTGGACTTCCAGATGTTTCATTACCCTACTAGGGAATATCATCAGTATGAGGCTGGGGTCACCAATCTTTTGGACCTCAGGGACCACTAAATTCATAATTTTAAATCCCGTGGACCACTAATATGATCTGCTTAATGACTGGCTGGGTGAGCGTGTCTGGGTGATCATGTGACTGGGTGGGCATGGCCAACTGGATGTCACTCACTTTGAGGGGCACCTCGCTGGCCTCTATTCACCCCTCCCCTCCACTGCCACTCCTCCCCTGCCCGCCCAGGCTCTTTAGGGCCCCAACAGGAAGCAGTTGTTGGAGCTAAGCAGCCGCCACGAGAAAGAGCTGGCAAAACAGCTCAGTTCAAATTGGATCTGACTGAGAAGGAGGCTCAGTAGAAGCACCTCACTGAGGACTACAAGCATAGGCTTTACAAGCAGAGGGAAGACCTGCAGGAGTGCAAGGCCAAGTACCGGCACCTGGAGGCTCAGCGGGCTGAGATGGTCAGCCAGTTCCAGGCCATGATGCAGTCCCACTGGAACGAGGTCCTCCGGCTCTTTGCCACCAGTGGCCTTTCCCTCCAGCCTTCACCCAAAGCCCCACACCAGGAGGCTGAAGCAGACCCCGAGTCAGAATTTCTGCCCTCCTCCTTCGACCCACACAAAAAGACCCCGAAGGAGGAGACTCTCTGCAGCAACACAAATGTTCATTGCACATATCTGGCCCAGGGGCCATAGTTTGAGGACCCCTGATTTAGTGTAATATAAAAAATGCAAACAGCTTTTCTGTGGACCACCAAAATTTTCTCATGGACCACCAGTAGTCCACGGACCACCAGTTGGTGACCACTGGTATGAGGGGCTATGGAGTTTGCTTCCTGTTTATATATAGTGGTTTACTTTGCCCATTTTGGTGATGGTATGGTTTTCCTTTCCTTTGATTAGGGTATGATTTCCTGCTTAATTGTTTGTCTGGTGTCAATCCCTGCTTATCTGGGTGTAGACTGCTGGAGAGAATGTGTTCTGATCTTTTTGCTTTCTGACTCAGCCTTCCATCCTTCCAGGATTGGTCAAATGAGGACCCAGATTGTTGCAGGTAACACACTGATTCTGTAGACCACTTAGAGAATGCTATAAATGTTGTGGCCCGCCAGCAGCCTGCGCGGATTGTGGCTGATCCCGACAATGAGGAGGCTGGTGTGGGGCAGCGAGGAGGCTGAAGAGGATGTGGTGCCAGAGGCAGAGACTCAGCCTGGGCCTTCAGAACCTCCAGAGGCTCCTTCAAGTGGAGAGAGTGAAGTGGAGGAGCCTCTCCTCAATGCTCGAGCACGCAGGGCTGCCAAAAGGAAGGAGTGGCTACTCAGGAGGAGGAGGTCTCCTCAAGAGTAAGGTTTGAGGATAATTGGCCACTCCCTTAGCCTATTTAAGTCGCACGCAGTTAGTAATTTCTTGCTGGAAACAACGTGTAATTATTACAGAGCATTTTGGAGAGTGAGTGTCTTATCGTATCTTGTTTTCTCGGCTGGTTGCCAACCTTTGCCAGACTTTGTTTATTCTTAGTACATTATAACTTTGATAAGGACCGTTGGTGTGTGTCACAACCCTTGGGAATCCGGAGCTGGGGCAGAACAATAAAGCACTGTGATGTGGTATATAAATCTAAGTCCTATTGCTATTATTTCATTTGAATGATGTGTAAATGTAGTTTACCTCTATGTGTTTGTTGATGGCTGATGTTTGTGAATGCCAAGCTTCCAGGAATTCTCTAGCCCAGGTTTAGCTTGGCCTAGAATGCTCTAAGAGGAGACTACAGTTGAGTCTGTCCATGTGTTGTGAGATTAAGGAGGTTTCATCATCTCTTCTGACCGCTAGTTGGTGTTCACGGATGCACTCTGCCAATTCTTTTGCTTGTCTGTCCTACATAGGTGCAACATAGTTGTGTTTATAGGGACGCAGTGGCTCAGTGGCTAAGACGCTGAGCTTGTCGATCAAAAGGTCGGCAGTTCAGCGGTTCGAATCCCTAGTGTCGCGTAACGGGGTGAGCTCCCGTTACTTGTCCAAGCTTCTGCCAACCGAGCAGTTCGAAAGCACATTAAAACATGCAAGTAGAAAAATGGGGACCACCTTTGGTGGGAAGAGAACAGTGTTCCGTGCATCTTTGGCACTGAGTCATGCCGGCCACATGACCACGGAGACGTCTTCAGACAGCGCTGGCTTTTTGGCTTTGAAACAGAGATGAGCACCGCCCCTAGAGTCAGGAACGACTAGCACATATGTGCGAGGGGAACCTTTACCTAGCTGTGTTTGGGAACTGACCCTTTCCTGCCAACAAAGACCTAGTTAAAAAAAAAGAGAGAGGACCTCTTTAACTTCCTGACCTAATTCATCTTCATTTATATATAAACCTAAGAGAAAGAAGAAGAGAGGGAGAGAGAGAGAAAGAAGGAGGGAGGAAGGATGAGAGAGAGAGGGAGAGGAAGGGAGGGAGAGGGAGAGAAAGAGAGAGATAGACAGAGAGAGAGAGAGAAAGAGGGAGGGAGAGAGAGAGAGAGAAGGAGGGAGGGAGAGAGAGAGAGAAAGAAGGAGGGAGGGAGAAGGAGAGGAGAGAGAAAGAGAAAGAAGGAGGGAGGGAGAGAGAGAGAGAGAGGGAGAGAGGGAGAGAGAGAGAAAGAGAGAGGGAGGGAGGGAGAGAGGGAGAAAGAAGGAGGGAAGGAGGAAGGGAGGGAGAGAGGGGGAGAGACAGACAGAAACAGAGAGAGAGGAAGAGAGAGAGAGAAAGAAGGAGGGAGGGAAGGAGAGAGAGAGGGGGAGAGGAGAGAGAGAGAGAGAGAAAGAAGGAGGGAGGGAGAGGAGAGAGAGAGAGATTCTAAGCATAACTGATTATGCCTCTCCGTATTTATTTCAAAGGTAAAGCTCGGGGCATTTTGTAAGACCTTCACTGCATTAAGAGCTTCACACTCCTGATTTCTATAACTATGGATTAGCTTCTTTGGCCCGGTTTTTCTTTGCTTTTATTAAAATAGCCATTGTGCTGGTGACAAAAAGGGAGACACACTTTTTTTTGGGTAAATGTCTGATATAGCAGTTAATTAACTCATAGCTTTAACACCAGCCTTCTGTGTTGTATTCCAGCTTTCCACCCACCCATCTCTCACCCAGAGAGAGAGAGAGAGAGAGAGAGAGGGAGAGAGAGAGAGAGAACACAAAGAACAAGCCTAACAAGCAACAAGACTAACCTGTCTCACTATGTCAAGCACAGTTTGGTCTAGTGGTTAAGGTACCAGGGCTAGAAAGCGGGAGACCGTGAGTTCTAGTTTAGCCTTAAGCATGAAGAGTTAGCTTGGTGACTTTGGACCAATCACTGAGAGAGAGTTCTAGTTTCACCTTAGGCAGGAAAGCCAGTTAGGTAACTTTGGGCCAATCACCAGGAGATGGTGAGTTCTAGTCCTGCCTTAGCCATGAAAACTGGATGGGTAGCTTTGGGCCAGTCACTAGGAGACTGTGAGTTCTAGTTTCACCTTAGGAAAGAAAGCCAACTGGGTGACTTTCAGCCAATCACCAGGAGATGGTGAGTTCTAGTTCTGCTTTAGGCATGAAAACTAGCTGGGTGATCTTGGGCCAATCACCAGGAGATGGTGAGTTCTCCTTTATATAATTGTTTTTCTTTCTTTTCTTCTTTTTTTTGCAACTTTCCTTCCAACAGGGCAAAAGTGAAGAAAGGGGTAAACATCCTGAGTGCCAAAATTAGTGAGCTACGGCAGTGGGACGTGATGCAGGAGGTCAGTAATGGCGGGAAGCATTCAACGATTGCTGTCATGTGTCACAGAATCAAGGCGAATTCACGCGGCAGGTGAGTGGCAAGCCAGAGCTTCAGCCTGTTGAGCGTTCTGGCCCCTCATTGATTTAGATCAAAATGGGAAGGACCCATGGCTACAGTAAAATAATGGAAGGGAGGGAGGGAAGGAAGGGGAGGGGAGGGAGGAGGGTGGGAGAGAAGGGAGGGAGGGAGGGAGGGAGGGCAATGAGAAAGAATGGAGGGAGGGAGAACAAGGAAGGAAGGAAGAAAAGGAAGGAAGGGAGGGAGGGAGGGAGGGAGGGAGGGAGGGAGGGAGGAAGGGCAATGAGAAGGGAGGGAAGGGCAGGGGAGGAAGGAGGGTGGGAGAGGAGGGAGGAAGGAAGCAAGGAAGGAAGGAAGGGCAATGAGAAGGAAGGGCAATAAGAAAGGAGGGAGGAGGAAAGGAAAGGAAAGGAAAGAAGGAAAGGAAAGGAAAGGAAAAAAGGAAAGGAAAAAAGGAAAGGAAAGGAAAGGAAAGGAAAGAAAGGAAAGGAAAGGAAATAGAGAAGGGAAGGGAAAGGAAAGGAAAGGAAAGGAAAAGAAAGGAAAGGAAAGGAAAGAAGGAAAGGAAAGGAAAAAAGGAAAGGAAAGGAAAGGAAAGAAGGAAAGGAAAGGAAAAAAGGAAAGGAAAGGAAAGGAAAGAAAGGAAAGGAAAGGAAAGGAAAGGAAAGGAAAGGAAAGGAAAGGAAAGAAGGAAAGGAAAGGAAAAAAGGAAAGGAAAAAAGGAAAGGAAAGGAAAGGAAAGGAAAGGAAAGGAAAGGAAAGGAAATAGAGAAGGGAAGGGAAAGGAAAGGAAAGGAAAGGAAAGAAAGGAAAGGAAAGGAAAGGAAAGGAAATAGAGAAGGGAAGGGAAAGGAAAGGAAAGGAAAAGAAAGGAAAGGAAAGGAAAGAAGGAAAGGAAAGGAAAAAAGGAAAGGAAAGGAAAAGAAAGGAAAGAAGCAAAGGAAAGGAAAAAAGGAAAGGAAAGGAAAGAAAGGAAAGGAAAGGAAAGGAAAGGAAAGGAAAGGAAAGGAAAGGAAAGAAGGAAAGGAAAGGAAAAAAGGAAAGGAAAAAAGGAAAGGAAAGGAAAGGAAAGGAAAGGAAAGGAAAGGAAAGGAATCACTTGTCAATGTGAGCGTTCAAGAATCCATTTCCTTGATTCCCCTTAAGAATCAGGATTCCCATCTAGGTGGACCTTGTATGTTCTAACAGAGCCTTAATAATGCATAAAGGCGGCATAACTGAAGGATGATGCATCTGAGCTTTTTGTGGCTTGGCTCTACCATTTCTCATCGTTTGCCCCATTACGATGAGAAACAAGGCACTTTGTTCAACTCGGCTGCTTTGTTCTCTAATGAAGAATCCCAGATTCAAAATACATTAGGGCTTTTAAAGAAATAATTGGCCTTTATTTCTCCTTTCTGATGTTATCTTTGATAGGCGATCGGGGGCGGGGGGAGCCTTGGGCCTCTGCAGGCAGAGCGTGATGCTTTGATCTTGTCTCTGCTTGCTCAGAGCAGACGTTTAGGAGATCTCCAACCATCCACCATCCTGTCCAGAAAATTGGTCCTTCTTCCCAGTTGCTCTTCCATTGGCTAGACAACAGACGAAGGAAACAAACTGTTAAGGAATATGCGCAGAGTAACCCTTGAGTAGCAAGGTTGTGCACATGAAAAATGGCTGAGAGTGATTGTGAATAAGCACTGTCAATACACAGACACACTGAGTTGTGATATTCTTTTACTTTTAGGAAAAAGTAAAGCCAAGTCCAATAAACAATCCAGGTCATCCACAGATAAAGATAGTTAAATTGTCAATCCAGGGATATTCCAAGAACAAAGTCTTCTTACCAGTTGTTGTAGTCATATGCAATGAAACAGTTCTTTTTGTAGTTGCAAATAGGAACAAGTAAAACAGTAAAACAATCAGTAAAACAGTAGAAAACAACAAGTAGCAATGATCAAGCAGTGATCATGCAGAGAGAACAGGCAGAGAGGAGCAGAGGTAGCAATAATAATGTACTAAGAAAAAAAATAAGCCATGATTCAAGCTTCCTCTCAAGTACGTTGGCTACAGAGCTAGCCAATCAGAATACAGTATGATGCAATACAGCATTACAGTCTTAAAGCTATACATTACATTTTGACTGCAAACATGCATTGATGGTTTATATATATTGCCAACCCAACCAGTTAGGCAATAGCCATTCCCTAACACAAACCTTCATTGCTTAAGATCCTCTGTAAAGGTTGTCCTCTGTAACACTAAATTGAGACTCCTTTTTTTACATCATGGTTTAGAAAAGCTGTTAGGTTGGTTCAGCCGCTTTGCTTACTCACTCCTAAGTAGAAGAAGACATCTTCTTCCTTAGATGTTCATGGATAGAAGAGAATATTTGTAGCTCATGGTTGAACGGTGGTGTCCTTGGGCGGTTTCTGAGCTTGGTGGTTTTCTGGCAGGGGTTTTATTACCTGACTAGGTAACATTCATCTGTGCAGGGGGGAGGAGGAGGAGGAGGAAAAGGAGGAGGAGGACAACAACTGTGAGGTCCTTAGTATTTTCTGAGCTTGGTTGTTTTCTTTCAGACATTTCATGACCCAACTAGGTTACATCATCAGTGCTAGAAGGGAGTGGGGTTTTCAGGGAGGAGGAGGAGGAGGAGGAGGAGGAGGAGGAGGAGGAGGAGGGGAGGGGGAGGAGGGGGAGGAGAATCAACTGTGGGGTCCTTAGTTCTTTCTGAGCTTGTTTGTTTTCTTGCAGACATTTCTTGACCCAACTAGGTTACATCATCAATGCTAGAAGGGAGTGGGGTTTGTGTAGAGGAGGAAAATAACTGTGGTGTCTATTGGTGTTTTTCTTGCAAATGTTTCATTACCCAACCAGCTCATTTCATCAATGCTAGCATTAGCTGGATTCCTTCTAGCACTGAAGACATTACCAAGTTGGGTCATAGAACGTCTGCAAGAAAACTAATCGAGCTCAGAGAGCACCAAGGACCACACAGCCCTCCCCCCTCCCTCCCTCCCTCCTCCCGCCTCCTCCTCCTCTTCCTCCAGCAGTGATGATGTTCCCTAATTGGTCTTATCCAAGTTCAGAGACCACCAAGGAACCAACTTTTAATCCATCATCCAGCCAACGCCAACCTTTTTCTCTAATGTGGTTGGTTTGCTCATCAGCCTGAGATGGCTGGTGTGACCTGGGGAATCGCGCCAATGTGCCACCGAGGGAGTTTCCCCTGTTTTCCCATTCACGGGAAAGAAAGAAACAGATGCATGAACCCATTAGGGGAAGACGTCGAGAGAGAAACCTTAATTCTCTTTTATTTTGAGGTGATCTCAAAGGGCGCCGTCTTCCCTCCAGCGCACCAAAGCCATGATCCGTTTATTTATAGTGTGGCTTGAAGCGATGTGAGTGGAAAGCTGATGTGCCAAACTCTTGGGGCATTTATTTTTTTTCCTGGGTACCATCACCAATTCGGTCCTGGATGTGCAAACTGCGGATGGCAAAAAAAGCAATTCTATTCTGTCCTAGTCTGGAATATCTTCCTTCCTTCCTTCCTTCCCTCTCTCCCTCCCTCCTTCCTTCCTTCCTTCTTACCTACCTACCCTCCCACCTTCCTTCCTTCCTCCCTCTTTCCTTTCTTCATTTCTTCCGTCCCTCCCTTTTTCATTTCCTTCCTTCCTCCTTCCTGTCTTCCTGTCTTCCTTCCTTCCTTCCCTCTCTCCCTCCCTCCTTCCTTCCTTCCTACTTACCTACCCTCCCTCCCTTCTTTCTCTTCCTCTTACCTTCCTTTCTTCTCCCTCCCTCTTTCTTTTTCATTTCTTCCCTCCTTCCCTTTTTCCTTTCCTTCCTTCCTTCCTCTTTCCTGTCTCCCTTCCTTCCTACCTACCTATCCACCAGGGGTGGGTTCTAATTACCTTTACTACCAGTTTGGAGCCTTCCACCACTTTTACTACCAGTTCTAAAGAACCGGACAGAACCTGGAGCAACCCACCACTGCTACCTACCCTCCCTTCCTTCCTTTGTTCCTTCCCTCCCTCCCTCCTTCTTTCTCTCCCTCCCACCTTCCTTTCTTCCTGCTTCCTCTTTCCTTTCTTCATTTCTTCCCTCCCTCCCTTTTTCCTTTCCTTCCTTCCTTCCTTTCTTCCTTCCTTCCTACCTACCCTCCCTCCTTCCTTCCTTCCTTTGTTCCTTCCTTCCCTCCATCCTTCTTTCTCTCCCTCCCACCTTGCTTTCTTCCCGCTCCCACTTTCCTTTCTTCATTTCTTCCCTTTTTCCTTCCCTTCCTTCCTTCCTCCTTCCTGTCTTCCTTCCTTCCTACCTACCCTCCCTCTGTCCTTCTTTCCCTCTCTTTCCTTCTTTCCTTCCCTCCCTCCCTCTCTTGTTCCTTCCTTCCTTTCTTCCCTCCCTCCTTCCCACCCTCTCCCCAAAACAGATTCTCAGAACCCTCAAAAGGCTTCTCCCCCAGCTCCATCTGCACAGAGCAGTTATTTTTATTAAAACTAATTTAATTTGGCAACGGTCTACATTCTGTTAATGGGATCATTGTGCATTGCCGCCATCCTCCCGGGTGATGGTTTTTCTTTTCTTTTTTTCCCCCTCTTGTCTTTCTCCTTTTTCCAAAGCAATTTCATAGAATTATTTATTTCAAAGACATGGGGGACGCAGATCCCCAGATTCCTGCCTCTTGAGTTTTTGCAAGGGGTTTGGCTTTGGGCACCTTACTCAGAGTCAGAGAGTTAAGGATGCTGAAAAAGAAAAGCGGAGGAACTGTAGCTAATCAGCAGATGGGAGAGGAATCCAATAGTAGATTTCCTCGATAAGGAGCATCTCAGCGCAAGATCTGACAATCCGGTCGGAGGCATCACTTAATTCATAACACGACCTTGAAATGGTGTAAGAGAAATTCTTATGGTGAAGCGCAAACCTCCCTGTGACCACCCTGTGACCGCAGTTTCAGAAAATCCCATTTTTCAATGTTCCTACTGCCCTGCTCTTTCGAGAAACTTCCACGTATCTGAGCTGGCCAGAAGTGA